ACAGAACACACCCTGCATACCGCGGCCGCCAGACCCCAAGTTGTCCAGAGTGTCCCGATTATCCCGCCTCGCGCCCTCGACAAGCACGACAGAACATACCCTGCATACCGCGGCCGCCAGACCCCAACTTGTCCTGAGAATCCTGGGTATCCCGCCTCGCGCCCTCGACAAACACGATATAACACAATATGGCAAAACATAACATGGGAGAACAGAGCAAGAGCATGCCAGAACATGGCAGAACATAACATACCATTATCATGACAAAATAGATGACACCAGCATAGCACAGAACATGCCAGAGCAGATCATGACAGGACATAACACAACATGATATAACATAACCGAACATAACATAACACACATTGACATAGCATATCGTATCATGACACAGCGTCACCAACCATATCATCACAAAAATACAACAGAGCATAGCGGCGAACACGCCAGAACACAGCATGTCACACCAGAAGATAGCATAGCAGAACACGAGCATGCCATACCACGACAGAGCATAGCATACCAATATCATGACAAAGAGAGCATGGCATAACATCACATAACACATCATAGTATAGCATGATAGAACATAAGGCGGTATAGCACCCTTTAGCATAGCATAATCGAGAAACACAGAAGACACCTTGGCAGAGCATCCCATATCATTGCACCTCTTCGCATAACGTATCATAACAAGACAATGTAGCATATCGCCACATACTAGCATTAACATGTCATACTAAGTGATAACATCAAATTGCGACATGGCCCAGCCGCTGCGCTGGCCGACGCCGCCGGGCACTGCGCACGTCCTTCCAGTAGGTGCGCGCACCGTTGGGGCCAAACGCCGAAGGTTTCGGTAGGGATCGCTCGAAGCAAAATAATCAAATATGTTGGGGATTCTCGCTTTTCCGAGCGTCCGATGCTCCAAGACGACTCGAGATGGTTTAGGCCCTCACGAGAGCTCCAAGACGGCCCCAAGAAGGGCCCAAGAGTGGGAACACGAACCAATAATCCGAGCCTTCTGCTCCGAGAGGCCCCCAGCAGGCCCCCTTGCCTTCTCGAGTAGTTGCCACCCCGCTGCGCTGGCACGTACTGTTTCTTGCCCCCGTTGTCCTGTATCCTGCGTTCTGTTCCTTAACCCTGCGGTCCTGCGTTCTTCATCCGCCACTGCGCCCTTGGCATGCCTGTGGCGTGGTAATCGGGCACACGCTACACTCGACCAGGATAGTAAGGATGCGCGATAAGGATGCAAGGGCCTTGGAAGCCCATTTCGAAGCTTTTCGAGTGGGGCGCGGCCAACGAAAGTGGTCAAGGATGGACCGAGGAGGCAAGGATGCAAAGGTTCCCTTGGGAAGGTTGCCCATCCTTACTATGCAAGTTGACTGTAGCCTGAATGACGGCTCCGTGGATCTGGCGCGTGGGTGCCAAATCCCTGGCCCGGCCCAAGAATCCCCGGAGCATGAAGCCAGTGCTGCCTGGCTTGGCGACGGAGCGCGCCGACACTGCACGGAGGAGGAGGAGGAGGAGGAGGAGGAGGAGGAGGAGGAGGAGGAGGGGGAGGAGAATGAGGGGGAGGAGGAGGGGGAGGAGGAGGAGGGGGAGGGGGAGGAGGAACGCCCGTTGGCCATTGCTTCTCTCGGGACAGCACCCCTCCAACTCGGCACGACCGAATGGCCACCGTCCCCGAGGACCGTCCGAAACCAACACCACGAAAGTTCCGAGACGGCCTCGAAATCCGACCAGACGACCTCGATGAAAGAATCCAAGGACCCAAAGGTATCCTGAGGCGCCCTAAGATCATCCCCCTAAGCCTCGAGGCCCCACGGCACCGAACACACGGGGAACACATTTTATGAATCGACAGGATTGATTGCTCCCGATTTGAGCTTCGGCCTGAAACACGCTCCAAAAGGTCTCTGAGAACCCCACGATGGCACCAGCAAAGGGCCCCAACAAGCCCCCAAGACGGTTCAGCCCCCCGAGACGCCCCCATCCGCCGCACGAGAGCTCCAAGACGGCTTCGGCGATCACAGGGTGGCTCCACCGAGCCGCTTCGGGTGAGCTGGACAGCCCGAGATGGCCTCAAAGCCGCTCCAACCCGGTCCAAGAGGGCTCTCGGAACACCTGGGGGGCTCAACCATAATGCAAAGACGAGGTGAAACCGAACCCGAAGATGCTCATCCCATGTTTGACCGACTGCAGCACCACGCTGAGCTTTCCGATGGACTCTCGAAGGAAGCGGCCGGAATGTCTTGCCGACGGTCTGGCTCCAGCCGCTTCCGCCTGCGGCGTGGGCCGTGCGAGATCCCACCGTGCGTGCAAATGTCCAGACATCATGCGACACACTTTTCGACTCCGTGGCCCCAGAGCCCAATATCCCTTATCCATATTTCCTCTTCTTCTGCTCCTCCTCCTCCTCCTCTTCCTCCTCCTCCTCCTCCTCCTCCTCCTCCTCCTCCTCCTCCTCCTCTATCTCATCCTCAATCTCCTCCTCTATCTCCTCCTCCTCCTCCTCCTCTTCCTCCTCCTCTATCTCCTGTATCTCCTCTATCTCCTCTGTCTCTTCCTCCCCCTCCTCCTCGCCCTCCTCCTCCTCCTCCGGAGAACTCTGCACCCCGGGCTCCTCGGCCTCGACCCGCGGGCCTATCATGGGTCGAGAGGGAGGAAACGGCGCCGCAATTGGAAACAGACACGTCGTCGGCAGCCTGTCAGGGAAGGCGCGGCTGCTGGAGAGCATGCCGAGGCTGGGAAGCCGCCGACGACCACGCCCGAACGCCTCGAACCTCGAAACTTCGCCCCCTCCTGAGCCCGCACCCCCTTTCGGGGAGAACGAAAGGGGGGGATAACAAAGGGTAGGGTAGATAATCAGCTGACGTAGCTGATTTTCCCAGCGCCTCCTGGCGCCGGGCGGGGCCGAAACCAGCTGCATGCAGCAGATTTCGTACCCCCCCCTTTCCCTATCCCCCCTTTCGTTCGGCCCGAGCCTGGGTAGGAGAGCCCAGAATCGGATCGACAAGCTGGATCGGCGGTCGAGAAATGAATCGGACATCGGCGGAAAAACCGGCAGCCAGGTCGGGAGAAGTCGAAGTTCGGAGGCGAAATCGGCAGGGTCGTGTGCCTCCGGTGAGAAATCGGAGCCCAACTCGGAATCCCAAGTCGAACCGAGTCGGCATCGGAAGCCATCGAAGTCGAATCGAGTCGGAAGAACTGGAACGAACCCTGCCTGGGTGTTTGCCGCCATCGACCCGCGTCCGATCCGAAACTTCCCGAGGTCCCTCCAGTGGAGCCCAGCTCCGCCAGGCGGGCGGACGCCCGCCCAGGTCCCCGAAGCACATCTGCGAATCTCCGACGCCCAAGAACCCCTCAAGACGGCTCGTCGTCCTGCCACATGCTTCGAGAGGCCCCCAATACGCCCCGAGTGACTCCACGAAGCTTCCTAGACACACCCAAGCAGGCCTCCAGCGGGGAGCACCGGATCGAAACGCTTGTTGCTGCATCCCAGCAGCACCCCAAGACAGCCCAACGCCGCCCTAAAACGCTCGAAGACGACCCTCTCTGCCCAGGTAATGCGATCAAAGACTGCTGCAATCGATCCTCTTCAAGAGAGCTCAGTCGACCCATCGCGCCCACGACGTCCCCCAGACACAAAGAGGCTCCCAGAAGCAATCTAGAGGCCCCCAGCAGGCCCCCTGACCAAACCAACATGTATCTAAGAGGCCCCAAGAGATTACGCAACAACCATGCAACGTTACAGCCCCGATACGCTACAGCATCCCTGCGACGAACCACCAACATGCCCCACTCAGACGCTTGTGAGCCTTCGTAAAGCCCAACACGCTAGCGACACGAAACGCGACACGGATACAAATTCGAACAGTTCGTTCGTTTCCAGTGGTCGGAAATGATAGAGATGTAAAGCAAAAGTCGTTGGACAAATATTGAAATATTGGATATCCACCCGTTGAAGACGAAGGAAAAGGACAATCACTCGATCCGTGAATTAGGACGGCGCCTACAGCAGATGGGCATGTTTGCCAGCTTGGGCCCCGAAAAGTGAGTTTTCGCAATCTGGTGGTGTAAGCTATGTGTTGGAAGTTGTGTGGCGGAGGCTATGCGGTGGAAGCTAGGTGATGGAAGCTACGTTGTGTAAATGATGCGGAACATATGTGGTGGAGCCTGTGTGTGGCAACGCTTCGCGTCAACAGAAATGCTGGCAAAAAGCTGGAACCCAGAAGATGGGACCCAACTATTCGATTTTCTTGACGCGTCGCGTCTCCCCACTGGATGCGGAAACGCACGAGGCGGCAACTGGCGGCAACAAACCCGAACGCGGCGAATCCTCGACGCACCCACCCGAGGCGGTAACGGGCGGGAGCGTGGCGAGTCCTCGACGCACCCGCACACGCGGCGGCGACGGGCGGCAACGGGTGGGAACGTGGCGAATCCTCGACGCGCCTTGGGGAATCTGGAGATCCAAAAGTTGAGCAGGGACCGACCGTCCTGGCATTCCTATAGGCCTACCACGAAGTGCTCTTAGAACCCAGAAGTCTTCTAAGAACAGAAACAATGTTCTTAGAACATGAACCCGATGTGTTAAAACAAGACGGTTCCAGTCAGAAATTGTTCTAGGAACATTTCGCGCAGACCACAAACGGTTCTGAGAACATTCTTTGGCGGGCCTATAAGCGAGCCAGGACGCTTCGCCACTGATTGATATAAAGTCAAGCTAAAACATAACGCCCGTGACCAGCCCTGGACCCCCCCAAATCACGTCACTATTTGCGCCGTCTGGGAATGAGCCGTTGTCCTAAGCACTTCCAGACGGCGCCGGCGCGAATCGTGACGTGACCCGCCCCTCCCCCACGACCACGCCGGTTATCGCCAGGTGCTAAAAGCGGTCTCATGATACTTACTTTCAGCGACGGATGGGCACAGGATTGTAGCGCTGTGCCAACCCCCTTCATGGCAACACTGCCAAACGTCGGCCAATGGTGCGCCCCAGGCGTCCCTGATAATACGGGTGCAGGCTCGCGTATGCGAGGGAGCACACCGCCTCCTCACAAAGGTCGTCCAAGCTGTGCGACATCTCGTTAGAAGATCAAAAAAAACATAAACATAAACTTTTGGGGCTCCGCGAGGATTTCTTGGATCCGCGCTGGACCCCCCTCCCAGGCGCGCGGAGCGCGCCAGGGGCGACGCCTCAGGCGCCGCCAGGGGGGACCCAGCGCGGATCCAAGAGATCCGCGCGGAGCGCCAAAAAATAATGCTTATGGCGTTTTTTTCTTCCTTGACTCGTGCGCCAGTGTCCTCTCGAAGAGACGCAAGACTCGGGTACGAGGGACTCAGGTTGGCCTGACGGGGCCGTCATAAAAATGACGAGACCCAATCTGAAATTTGATGCGAACTCACGCTCTAAACATCCCACGTCGGCAAATCCGAGTTCCGGCCCCAAACATGCGACGTCCTGATTTTTTCAGGACGGCGCCCCCTGAAGTCCCGACCCTTTCCCCGGGACTAGTTTTTCATCCTGAGCCGTTGTTTGACGGTCCCGAGGCCCGGCGAGGGCCTCTAGAGGCCGAAAATGCACTGGCAAAAAACCTCCGTCCTGATTTTTGTCAATACGTTGGAACTCTGGGCTACTCGAGTCTTACGTCTCGCCGATCCTCACGGCCCCGTCGCACCAGTCCGCCTTCGCCGCGGCCAGCACGGCGCGCACCGCGTTGGCGGGGTCGAGCTCAGACGCCCGCGCCCGCTGCGCAAGAAGGCGCCAGGCAAAGGGCGGCGGCTGGGCCCGTGCCTTAGGTCGGATTTTAGACGACTTTGTTTTAAATAATGAAAATAGTAGATTAAACATTGAAATATGTTGGATGTGAAATAGATAAATATGAAGACATACCGCCAACATATTCAAAGCTAGTCCAAAAGCCGTCCCCAGACTAACTATTTGTTGACTATGTTGGGGGGATTCCTCCTGTAGAGGGGCAAGCCCGACTTAACCCGAGCCTTGGCCAGGCCGTGCAGCAGCAGCGCCAGGTGCGCGGGCCCGCACTCGCCGCACCTGGCCTCCAGGAGCTCGCCCATGGCTCAGGGCGCCGTGAGCGGGGACTTTGATAAGCCAGACTTTGCTTCGTTGACGGGTCTTTTTTCCACCACCACCACCACCACCATCTGTTGGAGGGGGAGGGGGTCCTCCTCCTCCTCCTCCTCCTCCTCCTCCTCCTCCTCCTCCTCCCCCTCCCTTGATCCACCTCCTCCTCCTCCACCTCCTGATCTTGCTCCTCCTCCCCCTCCTCCTCCTCCTCCTCCTCCTCCTCCTCCCCTCCTCCTCCTCCTCCTCCTCCTCCTCCTCCTCCTCCTCTGCTGGTGGTGGTGGTGGAAAGCAGGCCCATCATTCATGTCGAGAAACGTAGAATCCGATCCAGTCAGCGAGCTGACCCGACGCCCTGCGCTCCAGAGAGAACACATGAGAGCGCATGGGAGGCTCAGGGCGCCGTGAACGGAGACTTTGACTACAGAAAAAGAAAGAGCGCCACGAGCAAAAACCTTGTGGCGCTCCGCGCGGATCGCTTGGATCCGCGCTGGGCCTCCCCGGCGGCGCCTACGGCGCCGCCCCTGGCGCGGTCGCTCCGCGCGCCAGAGAGGGGTCCAGCGCAGATCCAAGAAATCCACGCGAAGCGCCAAAACATTATTTTTATATCGTTTTTCCACCTTCGATAGAAACCAGAGTTTGCTGCATGTCGAGAAACGCAGAATCCGATCCAGTCGGCGAGCTAACCCGACGCCTTGCGCTCCAGAGAGAGCGCATGGGAGGCTCAGACGCTTGGCCACCACAGAGCTTTGTGAACGGGGCCTCTGCTAAACTCGGGCGCAGGCACGCCCGAGAGAGCTGCGGCCATGTGTCGAAGCACCCTTCGTGATTTTTCAATACGGGGTCCCGGGAATTCCCGACCCTTTCCCCAGGGCCAGTACTTCATCCTGACGGGTTTTTTGACAGTCCCGAGGCCTCGCGAGGGAGGCCGAAAACGGCAAAAAACCTCCGTCCCGATTTTTTCAATATGCTGGATCTCTGGGTTCGCCGTGGTTGCTGGCTCGATCTGAGACCTGGCGCAGAGCCCTGGCTTGCAAAGCCCTGGCTTCCCGAGCCCTGCATGTCTGCGACGCCCCCGTCGCTGGCCACCTTACGACGAAGCCAGGAAGAGGACACACTCGACCCTCTGGGAGCCAGCGGCTCTGGAGGATGTCTCGGGCGCCGCGGCCTTCTCAGAGCGTTCCGGAAAGCTCTGAGAGCGTCCTGACGCTGTTTTTCGTTATGGGTTCGTTCTGCTCTGCCTGTTCTCCTGTACCTCCCCGTCAAAACGAAAAACGAAACACGGCCGAAATCCAACACAACAGCGTTAGGTACAGGCCTCATCGAGAACCTCTGAGAGCCGGCGGCTCTGGAGGTCTCGGGCGCCGCGGCCTTCTCAAAGCGTTCCGGAGCGATCTGAGAGAGTTCCAGAACGCTCTGGAGCTGACTTGTCCTCATCCTTGCTCCTGGGGAAACCGAAAGGTGCCGACACCGCTGCTCCCCGGACCTCTCCCGGGGTGCGTTCTGACCAGGATCTCGAGGCGAATCCAGCGGTGTCGACGAGAGCCTCCCATGAGGCTCCAGAAAGGCGAACAAACAACGGGGGGTAGAGGTATGGGTTCCTTTTCCGCCTCCGAGACTTCTCGTTCTAGTCTCGTCCTAGCCTCCTCCTCCTCCTCCTCCTCCTTCTCCTCCTCCTCCTCCGTCTCTTCCTCCTCCTCCTCCTCCTCCTCCTCCTCCTCCTCCTCCTCCTCCTCCTCCTCCTCTTACCTCCGAGACTTCTCCTCGTCCAAGCCCCGTGCGGCACCTCCAGGCCCAGCAGCGCGCCCGCGTGCGTGGCCACGGCCAGCTCCGCCCCGGGCAGGCGGCGCGCCACGCGCGCCAGCGCGGACGTCAGCGCCTGCGCCAGGTCGTGCCCGACCGCCGCCCCGCCCCTCGCGAGGGCCGTGAGCGCCATCGTGACCTCAAGACGAAGCCAGGACGAGGGTAACATCGGGTGCGGATGCATCGAGAACAGGGCTGGACCTACACGCTGTTTGTCGTTTTGTCTTCGATTGGTTGTTCGTTCTGCTCTGCCTGTTCCGTTTAGGGCCAGCCCTGATCGAAAACCTCTGAGAGAGCCGGCGGCTCTGGAGGAGATGTCGGGCGCCGCGTCCTTCTTCAGGAGGCCCAAGAAAGGCGAACACATGATGGGAGGGTAGAGGTATGGGTACCTTTTCCGCCTGCGAGACTTATCACCTAGCGTCGTCCTGGCCTCCTCCTCCTCCTCCTCCTCCTCCTCCTCCTCCTCCTCCTCCTCCTCCTCCTCCTCCCCTCCTCCTCCTCCTCCTCTTCCTCCTCCTCCTCCTTCTCAACCTTCCAAATCCTCCTCCTCCTCCTCCTCCTCCTCCTCCTCTTCCTCCTCCTTCTCCCCTCCTCCTCGTCCTCCTCGTCCTCCTCGTCCTCCTCGTCCTCCTCGTCCTCGTCTCGCCTCCTCCTCCTCCTCCTCCTCTTCCTCTTCCTCTCCTCTCCTCCTCCTCCTCCCCCTTTTCCTCCTCCATCGCTCCTCCTCCTCTTCTTCTTTTTCCTCCTCCTCCTCCTCCTCCTCCTCCTCCTCCTCCTCCTCCTCCTCCTCCTCCTCCTCCTCCTAGCCCCGCCCGAGACCTCCCGCGGCCCCAGCCGCCCGGCCGCCGCCGCCAGCGGCGCCGCGAGGGCGCCGACACAGTCGGCCGCCCACTGCGGCAGCGCCCCGCCTCGCGGCGCGGTGCGCGAGAAGGCATCCACGGCCAGCGCCAGCTCCAGGGGCCCGAGCTCCTGAGCACCACCTCCCCGATCCCCAGAATTCCCACTGGCATGGCTGTGGCCCAACCGGAGGAGGAGGAGGAGGAGGAGGAGTAGGAGGAGGAGGACGAGAGGAGGAGGAGGAGGAGGAGGAGGAGGAGGGAGGAGGAGGAGAGGACGAGGAGGAGGAGAGGAGGAGGAGGAGAGGAGGGAGAGAAGGAGGAGAAGGAGGAGGAGGAGGAGGAGGAGAAGGAGGAGGGGAAGAGGGGGAGGATGCGAGGCGGAGGCGGAGGCGAGGCGGAGGAGGGAGGGAGAGGAGGAGGAGGAGGAGGGAGGGAGGAGGACGAGTAAGAGGAGGAGGAGGAGGAGGAGGAGGAGGAGGAGGAGGAGAGAGGAGGAGGATGAGGAGGAGGAGGAGGAGGAGGAGGAGGAGGAGGAGGAGGAGGAGGAGGATTTTTTTGTCACCGCACCCCCAACGATCTCTCCTCCCCCTGCCATACTCGAAGACTCCGCCACCCCGCACGGGGTAATGAGTGGAAGCGGAAGCACCATAGATGTGGCACTACGCGGACGAAGTTGCCATTGACACCCGTGAAGTCGAGGGGACCGAAGAAGCCATTGACATCAATGATGTCCAGGGGGCCGCCGAACCGCCCGTACACGGAGACCATGGAACGACGGAGTCATAGACAGCTACGAAGACGAGCTGGCCGAACCACCAGGGCAGGGCGGACGTCCCGAAGAAGCCGAAGCCACTTACGAAGCAGGTGAAAGGCGGACGGCAGGATCTCCACATTCGTGAACAGCACGTGCAGGAAGAACAATATACCCATCATCACAATGCAGCTGGATCTTAACCTCGGTCTCCGTTACGTCGTGGATCCGTCCAACTCGTCCTAAAAACTCACCCTCCACTATGACGCAAAATCTGTTGATGAACAGGCTCAGGGGCCATCCATACTGCGCACAATCACTTCCAATGCTCGGCTCGGCAAATGGGCTGAAAGTCAACTCATTAGTAGGCCAGACGATCTCACGCGCCACCGTCGGAGGGCTCTCACGTACCACAGGAGCGACAGCATTGTCCCCAGGAGTCGGCAAGGCCGCCTGAAAACGTTCCAGCTTAGCCAAAATGACGGCCATGCTCTCAGCCGCAGCCTCACCAGGAAGCTCGTCCAACCGATCGGCATGAAGAGGTTGCGCCCCAGCAGAAAGCTCAGCACCAGGAAGCGTAGGGCCACCAGGCAAAGGCTCATGATGACCCGATAACACCAACAACTCATCGATGCTCAACCCGTCATCCTCAATGGAGGCTGCGCTGGCTAAAGGCGGACCACCAGCACAAGGGAGAGGTGCGGCAAGAACTCCCCGCCCTTCACTGCCACCATCGGCGAGTGGCTGGTCCTGCACAGGACCATCAGGAGCACCGTGCACTTCGCCATGTTCCTCAGCAGCCACCCGTGCCTAAAGCTGATCGTGACCACCAGGCACTCCGCCAAGCTCCTGAAGCAGGATGTCCGTCAGCACCTCGTTGCCATTCTCGCACGTGCGAACAGGGAAAAAGACAGGGGCCGACGTGTTGAAGGGGAAGGGCGGGACGACGGGCAGCACCTGAGGATGTACATCTCGAGGCTCATCAGCAGCGCCATCCAGAAGGCCTTGCTGGCGCGGCTTCTTTGCAGAAGGGGCCATGCCAAACCCGCCCCAAGGATCACCTGCACCACTATGCCAGGGATCGTCACCACGTGACCCAGCAGGACGACGAGGCACCCGCCGCGCAGCGCCAGGGGAGCGATCACGACCGCGATCTGCATCATCATCAGGAGCATCACCTCCACCTTGATCAGTATGATCATCACCGCCATCAGCAGCCTGCGGCCATGAGAACCAGATGGCAACCTCGGAGGTGCCATCCGTATGACGATGCCCCCGGTCCACCGCGACCAAAGGCCCCAGTTGTTGAACCACAGTGTCAAGCAGCCTTCGTTGAAGTTGGCGCGCAACTGCAGACTGCACTTGGCCAGGGAGCACGAGGATCTTCACCTTCGCACGTTCTGAATGCAGTGCAGCACAGGAAGAGAAGTGAACCGCCGATCCTCTCTCAATCTGCCTCCGAACCCATGCCAGTCGAGCAGAGACCACCATCGCGGGAGAAGCAGAGCGGAGTGGGGGGGCACGCGGGGGCGCAGACGCGCCCTGGAAACCGCAGGGCAAGCAGATGCTTGAGCCCAAGTGGCTAAGGAGGAGGAGGAGGAGGAGGAGGACGAGGAGGAGGAGGATGACGGTCCCCCGGCCCCCTCTTTCTACTTTTCCTCTCCTCCTCTTCCTCCTCCTCCTCCTCCTCCTCCTCCTCCTCCTCTTCCTCGCCTACCCCCACTCCTCCTCCTCCGCCGCTTCCTCCTCCCCCTCCTTGTCTCCTCCTCCTCCTCCTCCTCCTCCTCCTCCTCCCTCCTCGTCCTCCTCCTCCTACAGGTCCACCTCCGCTTCCTCCTCCTCCTCCTCTCCTCCTCCTCCTCCTCCTCCCCTCCTCTTCCCCCCTTCCTCCTCCTCTTCCGCCTTTTCCTCCCCCTCCTTGCCTCCTCCTCCTCCTCCTCCTCCTCCCCTCCTCTCCTCCTCCTGCTCCTCCTCCAGGTTCACTCCTCCTCCTCCCTTCCTCCCTTTCCTCCTCCTCCGCCTCCTCCTCCTCCTCCTCCTCCTCCTCCTCCTCCTCTCCTCCTCCTCCTCCTCCTCCTCCTCCTCCTCCTCCTCCTCCTCCTCCTCCTCCTCCCTCCTCCTCCTCCTCCTCCTCCTCCTCCTCCTCCTCCTCCTCCTCTCCTCCTCCTCCTCATCCTCCTCCTCCCTCCTCTTCCTCTTCCTCTCCTCCTCCTCTCCTCCGCCTCCTCCTCCGCCGCCGCCGCCGCCTCTTCCTCCTCCTCTCCTCCTCCTCCTCCTCCTCCTCCTCCTCCTCCTCCGCTTCCCCCTGTCCTCCTCCTCCTCCTCCTCATCATTATCATCCTTCCCTCCCCCTCTTTTTTGTCATCAACTCCCTTGCCTCCGATCACCACTGCGAGACACCAGCTAAATCATGCTCATCTGATCACAGCAGAGGAATAACATCGTCCAGATCGACTGAAACGCCTGACTTGTCTGGGTGAAACCCCTTTTTGAACTTCTTGAGCAATCTCCGTGGGGGGGCTTGCAGACTTTACGGCGACCCACCACCTGAGCACCGCTAGAATAGAATTTGCACCTGAGACAGAGCCAGAGATACGACGCGCCGGAGCACAGAAACGCGACAACTCTGTGCTGCAGGCGCTCCAGAACTCCTTGGTCCAGCTTCGAACGCCCAGGACAGACCGTGTCGGGAGGGATCTCTTTCTCTCCCACGACCCGGCCCTTCAAACAAACCTCGCACCGCCAATGCCCACCCATCCTCTTCCACGTGTGGGCGAGCACAAGAGTGGGCTTAGGGGGCGGCGGAGGGGCCCGAGCAGTGCCTCCGAAGTCGAGCATGGGCCACTCCAGCAAAACCACAACGCCAAGCTTCATAACGTGCAGAGCTATCTTGAACGAACGACTCAAGTGATCAAGCACAACGGGATCCGCCGCGGGGTGCCTCGCAAGGACACTCTTGGCGGTCACATCAGCATAAGCATGTCCTTGCCCTACGAAGCGTTCCTCTGACGCGATGCCCTCTTCATCAGGGTCTACACGGGCCTTGACCTCCTTGCAGGACCGAAGGTTGAGGCCGAAAAGGTGATGAGTCATAAGCCTGGAGAATATTACCAGCATGCTGTTTTTTGCCGAAGAGACCTTCACACAACGGCAACGAACCTTGATCGACCACATTCTTGCAATCGATATACAGGTCAATCGGAGCCGAGGCGCAGCAAGCACTCCAAACAAAAGCACCGAATTCAGCCCCTTGGGGCGTTTGGGGACACGGCGCCCACAAAAGCCCCTAGATTTCACCAAGCGAGCGGCCCTGGTCGGAAACCGTGGCGAGGCCCCGGGCGCTCCTGGACAATTCGCGGACGACGTGCCTATGGCTCGACCCGTCGATAGAAAACATGGCCCCAGACACTGTCGCCGCGCGGCGCAGGAGGGCAGTCGGGGGAAGGGGGCGGGGGGCACGTCCACATGCCACTGGATCTCCACACCACCTTCTCTACACAGACCAGGGACCTGATCTCCAGGATGGCGGGAAGCACCCTGCAGAAACAGAACGCGGTCACAATCGGGGGGCGAGGCGTTGCTCGCGGCCTTCTGAATCCAAGCAGGGACCACTTCATCTCTCATCTCCTGACAGTGCTCGCAGACCCAGAGACGATGGTGGAGCGCGTCAGGCAAGCCGCAGTGCGGGCAGAGCGGCGAGACGGAGAGGTAACCAGCGGCCACGGCGTCCGTGGCCGGCCGTCCAGATGCCGCTGCAAGCAACGGCCCTCATGAGCCCCTAGTCCTGCTTGGAAAATTTAGAGGACCCATGACAATGCTTCGCCCCAGCACAAACGATGTTCACAACTATACTTCACGTTTGAATCCCGCCCCAGGTTTCTGCGCGCCGCGCCCCGACACAGCGAACGAACCATCTGGGGGAAATTCAACGTGAGCGAAATATCCCTGCCGAGATCATCCCGAAGAGTACAGAAATCTGGCATGGTCCACCCCGACCGATAAAGCGACATACGGAGGGCACTGATAGGCCCTGAGAGCTTACTCTAAGAGAGATCATCAAGAGCAAACACCGTGGCCCATCCTTCTCTCAGTTCGGCAAAAGACAGACACCATTCGAAAGCATGAGTCTGACGCAGCCACACTCCGCGAGCCCTCAAAATGGGGGCAACCGCCGAACGCCACGGAGGATCGCCCTCCAAGAGGGACAGGACAGAAACAGATCAGACGAATAACCTCGGTTTGATGGTGCTCATGCCCATTCTCCTGAGCGACAACAGCTCACGGTCCCAAATTCCATAAACCTCGTCCCAACAAAACCTCACCGGCCATGGGGCCCGCCGCAGAAATCTCGGTGGCTTTTCACCCAACCGATTTGCTCAGACGGGCGAGGCGGCGGCTCTTCCTGGCAGCAGCAGCGAGACGAGAATTCATTTTGACCCCACGGCCACCACCAGCAGAACGGATCGGCTTGCCAGCCGCAAAATCACTGCCTACGTTGACAACGCTGGCCTTGCCAGCCCCAGCTAAGGGCCCGAGCTTGGCCTCCAACGCATCGCTGAAAGACTTGTGACTGGTGACGAGACCTATCTTGTCCATGGCCAGCTCGCAGCCCAGGGTGACGGTGAAGGCCTCGTGCAATGTCTTCGCACCTTGCACAATGCCTGAAACTACAAAACGAAAAGAGCCAGTCTTACTTAAACGAGCGTCGTCGATGTACACTTCAAACTCGAGAATCGGCGGCCGAGGGGATCTCGTCAAAGGCCGACATCGCGAAGACGCGGATGAGGACTCGCAGCGAGGCTCCACCCCGCTATGAGCCCTTTGTCGGCGAAGCACGGCCCAACGACCAGACCCCCCATCGCTAAGAATCGAGCCGAGGCGCACGCCCGACTGCAAAGCCTAATCAGGGAAAGCGGAAAACCGTGGCGCTGACGCTGCCCCCAGTGGAAACCGAGCCCGATGTGCTCGTAGTATTTCTTGAAGCCCCAGAACAGAGACTCCGAGAAATCCCCCCTCCTGGTGCCGGTCTCAACTCGAAAGCTCTGCCGCCGCGCCGCGTCCGTGGGGCCGCCCAATATCTGCGGGGATGGGCCGCCCCCCACCTGACCGCCTCCGCGCGCCGCGCGCCCCCCGCCCCCCCCCGCACTCTGCGCCAAGCGGGGAAGACGCCGATGGGGCAGAAGCCGCCCGCAGCCTTCGGCAACAGCGCCAGCGAGACCCAAACCAGCTGCGAGGGGAGACGGCCCGTCGCCTCCATGACAAAGAGGAGAAGGTCCATATCATGCAGCCTCTCATCGTCCGAAACCGAAAAATGGCGGCAGTGGGCCGTCAAGAGAGACGGCGCTTGAAACCTTGTATTTTCTCGAAAGACCCCGAAGCTCTTCAGGAGTGGGAAGGGTGGAGGGTTGAATCAAAACCTGGTCGTTAACCCCCAGCCCGTCACCGCCCCCCATATCTTATGGAACTTGCCCCCCCCCCCCCCCCCCCTCAGCTTTTAATCGAGACTTCGGATCCACAGCGACCGCGCCCCCAGAGGAAAGGGTGGTGGGGGGCCCAACGCTCGGGATCTCTCAACGCGGCGTGGACCCTGCGGCCCCCGTCATCCAGGCCGACTCTAAGCCGGTCATTCCAAGAGGCTCGAGCCGAGCTCGATGCAGCAGCACGCGCCAGAGACTTCCCGACCCTCGTCGATTAGCTCCCTAGTCTCATCAAAGAACAGATCACGGCCATCCTGGCCGAGGGCCAACCCGCGCGAAGCCAAGCTGGCGGCAGCCCGAAACGCTGGAAGACAGTCATCACCATCAGGATCCAGGACCGAGGGATCAGGCGACTTGAGATGGTGAAGCACGCGTTGAAAAGGAGGCCCAGGGCCCGTAATTCCAACGTCCAATCTATGCTCCCAGTCTTTCAGCTAACACTGCAGCGCGTGCAACTGCGAGTGCAACCAGAAGATGGGACGCTGCTTGGCGCCCCTGAAGCGGCCAGAAGGCTTCAGCACCGACCGCCAGTGCATCTGCGGCCGCTTGCCGCGAGCACCTGCCACTGGCGCCTCGACACCCATGACGTCACCGATCTCGGCTTCGGCAGTGTTGGCCCACAGCCTGTATCCCGAGTCCAAAACAGCAGCCGCCCCATCAAAATCAACCCTCGAAGCGGCGTCGTAGCCCTTCTGGGCCACCCCTGGCGCGGCGTTCCAGTCCAGGGGGCGGGGTCGAGGACCAACGGGGGTTCCACGGGAAGAAGGGGGCGGCGACGGAACGCGAGAGCTTTGAGATCCATCAGAGACGGGTGAAAACTCAGAGCGACGGGAAAGCGAAGCGAAGTCGACGCCTTCGAGTCCACGCCCGCTTGTTTGACCCCCTGGGCCAGCCCCGAAGAAACACGGAAGAAATCAAAAAAACGAGGGGGCCAGCATTGGGAAAACGCGCGCCCATGCCGGGGGGCGCAATCTGGCACGAGAGCTCCTTGTCGAAGACCGAATCCTGCAAGGCTTCGGGAGCGAGGTTCCAATCCCCACCCACCGCGAACTCACGCGACGTGGACGACAAGAAAGCTCCCACCTCTTTCAGTATTTCTAAGTTGCCCTCCGACAAGCCTTCGGCGTGGGTCGGATAGAGCGAGGCGACGCAGATGGCCTCGCACCCAGGAGCATGAACCATGCTGGCAACAGCACGGCCGGGGTAGAGCACCGCCTGGGGCACCTCGAAGACGTCGAACGCGTCACGGTCGAATATCACAGAGCCAGAGCTCACCCCTCCACCAGGGCCAGGGACCCCAGGGCGCCAGGCGCTCTTCCGCCCAAGCTTGCGAGTCGAGGACGACGCGGTGCCAATGTCAGCTAGATCCATCAAGCGATGCTCCTGGCCCAAGATGACCATCGAATCGGAAGCCTCCAAGTGCCCCTTCAACGTGCCCCAAACACTACAGTTAGCCGTAGCGATCGTGACACCTCCGTAGAAAAAATCAAAACTTCCCTTCGGCCCCGCGGCAGCAGCAGCAGCAGGGGGCGGAGAGGAGAGGAGAGGAGGGCCGCGGGCAGCGCCTGGAAGGCCAATTTGTTGCGGAATCAGAGGGCAGGGGAGGCCTGGGACCCCGGAAAGACAAGGCTAGGCACCTCAGCCCTCAGACGTTTGAAAGGACGGATGCCAGACAGCCTGGACTGGGAGTCGATGCGCGACTGCCTGCCCGCGCAAAATTTAAAGCGCGAGATCGCAACGTCAGAGGGCTGCCTACCGACGCCGTGCGAGAGAGTTGATGCTTCGTTACTCCCCCCCCCCCCCCCCTCGCGAGAGCGCGGGCGCGGAAGGGGGGGGGGGGGGGGGCGAGGAGGGGGGGGGGGGGGGGCTAAACTGCAGCAGCCTGATCTCGCACATCCCGGGCAAACTTATCACCCAGGGGGGCCGCGGCCGAAGGCTCAGCGCCCGAAGTCCGGGACCCAGAAGCTCCTGCGGCGGCAGCCTCTCGCCTTCAGCTCCCGTAGCGGCAACTGGTTTCTCGCCGCCACATCCAGCTGCAGCACCTGCCTCTGCACGACGCTTCTTCTTGCACATGCGAGCGAGGTAGTCAGCGTGAGCCTGCTTCTGAGCCCGCGCATGGCCCACGACTTGCTTGAATAGCTTGTGCACCAAAGACTGCGCTCCATCAATAAGTTCCTTCTTCCGCTTATCAAATCTCACGCTGACCCTCAGTAGTGAGTTCCCATTCTTCGGACGAGCTATTGAACTCCAAGAGGTCGCAAGAGATGAGAGAGGAAATGCCCGCCTGGCCCTCGACGAGGTCGGCGAGGGCGATGGGCTTGAACGCAGGCACAGACTGGGCGGACTGGTCAGGGACGAGGAAAGCCTCCTGGTTGAGCTTGACCACAAATGCCTTGTACTCTGCGTCCGCTTGCACCAAAGATTCACGGTTTCACGTAGCTTGTCTTATTGCTCAGCCAAGCCCCGCCGAAGGCGAAGCACGCGGGCGAGATCGGCCTCGATCTTCGTCTCCAAGCGCTTGGCCGTGCCATGAGCGACATTGACTTGATGATGTAGCGATTGTTCTGCGGGGCCACGCTGCGCTGCCCTGAGGTGCTTAGCGTAGTCCGCGTACCTCTGGGCCGTGACGGTGTCCCCGGCCTTGGCCGACAAGGATGGGAGTTGCTCCGCCTCTTCGACCGAGATGGTGGGCACGAGGCCTGAGGGCAGAGGCGGCACGCCTCCACCAAGACCTGCTCCACTTGAAGCACCCTGTGCGCCGCCGCCAGCGGGACCTCCCGCCCACTCACCGCCGCCGCCTGACACACCCTGACCGCCGCCGCCTCCCGTGCCCCTGCCACCAACACTCCTCTTTCCCCCGCCAGACTGCACGCAGCCGCCAGGAACGAGCTGGGACGTGTGGGAGACGCCAGGAGGGCACTGGGACCACGCACGAGTAGGATGGTTCGAGCCAGGACGATAGCCGAGAGCAGGGAGAAAAGCAGCACAGTTGTAGCAATGGGTCGTGCCGAACGAGTTTTTCTTACACCGACAAGCAGGGCAATGCGCCTTGGACTTGGCACCTCGTGGCGCCCCTCCTTGGCGCCAGCCTCCCCCCGTGGCATTCTGCATTCCACCAGGCGCCGACTGACGAGCCCATGGCGCATGGTGGAAAGCATGACTCATGAATGAAAGTTGAACGGAACCTGCCAGGCTGCTCAAGCAGGGATCGTGAGTGCGACAACAAATAGCTCTCTGTAAGCCACCTTGAGAAATGGATTACTTGAGCCAAAATGGCTTGAGCCAAAATGGCGACGGACTCCCCTCCCCCTCCTCTTCCTCCTCTTCCTCCGCCTCCGTTTCCTCCTCCTCCTCCTTGTCTCCTTTTCCTCGTCCTCGTCCTCGTCCTCGTCCTCGTCCTCCTCCTCCTCCTCCTCCTCTCCCTCATCCTCCCCACTGGCACGGCTGTGGCCCCTCTGGCCGATGAACTCTCTCTGGGATGGGGATGCAGGCTGCTCCTTGCGGGGCTCGACGGGCCCGTCCCCAATTGGGGGGGGTGCGAGAATGGCGGGGTCGAGATGCGTGGCTGAAAAGGCACTGGGATATCGGTGAAACTGGGGAGACCAGAGAGGTACTGATACCGCAACTTCCAGGACCTCTCCCTGGGTGCGATTTGACCAGAATTCCGAAGCGAATCCAGCGGTCGCGGCGAGGGCCTCCCAGGAGGCCCAAGCAGGGGAGAACAAGGCAGGGGCAGCGGTATGAGTACTTTCCTCCTCCGATAGACGATACTGGCTGCCTACCAGACCACTCCAAACCAACCCGAAGACCCAAGTCTCGAGTGTGTTTGTTCAATGATCCCCGGCCCCCTCCCAACTGAGAATGGATGGCAAATTGGGGCCTTCGGGTTGGGTTGGGGTGGTTTGGTGGGTGGTGAGCCTCTGCTGGCCACACCTGGCCAGCCACCGTCGCGCTGCCAGGCCACGTCGCAGCTCGGCGTGCAGAGGACGAGAGCGCGAGGGATAACCCTGCGCCGGCCCGAGAAATTCCGACAACGACGACGACGACAACGACGACGACGACAACGACGACGACGACGACGAGGACGATGACGACGATAGAAGAAGAAACAACAACATACACATAAAGTGTTTGCCCTCCGCGCGGAGCGCAACAAGTTTATGTTCATGGCGTTGTTTATCCCCTCCTCCTCCTCCTCCTCTTCGTCGTCGTCGTCGTGGTCGTCGTCGTTTCTCCTTCTTCTTCTTCTTCTTCTTCTTTCGTCGTCGTCGTGGTCGTCGTTGTCGTCCTCCTCCTCCTCCTCCTCCTCCTCCTCGTCGTCGTCGTCGTTTGTTTTTCTTCTTCCTCTTCTTCTTCTTCTTATTCCTCTTCTTCCTTCTTCGACACGACGACGATGAGCTGCTGAGCTCCAGCCGGCGCCGCGCCACCAGCGGGGCCAGGGCCCGCAGCAGCGCCCCAAGGTGCGCCGACAGCGCCTCTGAGCACCGCCCGCCCTCGCCCAAGCGCGCCGCCGCGTGCGCGGCGCCCGCGAGGCCAACGGGCGCCAGGTCCTGGGGAAACCCACATAGAAGGCAGAACATCCACTCCCATGATAATCACCCCTCCTCCTCCTCCTCCTCCTCCTCCTCCTCCTCCTCTGGGGCTACAGCCATGCCAGTGGGGAGGGGGAGGAGGAGGCGGAGGAGGAGGAGGAGGAGGAGGAGGAGGAGGAGGAGGACGAGGCGGAGGAGGAGGGGGAGGAGGAGGGGGAGGAATGAGCAGGAGGAGGGAGAAGGAGGAGGAGGAGGAGGAGGAAGAGGAGGAGGAGGGGAAAGAGGAGGAGGAGGAAGGAGGAGGAGGAAGAGGAGGAGGGGAAGTCAAATGGAAGCGATGAGCATCGCTTGATATCTTTAAGCAGTGACAGAAAACAGTCTTGGGGGTCAGTTTGAAAAATGCATACTTTCTCCCCAACGCTGCAGCGCACAGATAGATCACACAGGGAGAGCGGGGCAAACTGGACCGCCGGGTACGCCCCCGCGACCGCCATCTTGAGCCCATCTTGGGCGTCTTGGGATCCAGTGTGGAGGTGTGTGATAATTTTTCAGCAGGTTTTGGACATTAACTGACCCCTATTATCCCCAACGGTGTGGCCTGCCAGCTGGGGACATGGGCCGTTCCCTCTGGGTTTCGAGGGGTGCATCCCCAACTGGAGTGCTGAGACTGGGGGGGGGGTCTGGATAGGGATGGGAATGGGGATGGGGATAGGGGTCGGTTGAACGATACTGAGATACCGCTGCAGTCGGGCTGCTGAAAGAAGGAACGATAAAGGAACGGAGCCCCCTGTTTGGCCACGGAAGCGCCTGCGTGGACGAGGAGCGCCAGAGAAACAGCCATGGCAGGACCCGCAAAACATCGAGCCCGATCCGAACCCAACATGTTCCTTATTCCAGCGTCGTAGCGATACCGCTGCTGCCCGCACCTCTCCTGGGGTGCGCTCTGACCAGAATTTCGAAGCGACTCCAGCGGTGGTAACACAATTAGGCCGAGGCTCAGAAAGTCAAAAACCAGTCGGGGGCAACAATCTGGGTACATGTCCGAGGTCGCCGACGGGGCCGGCCGCGCCACTCGCTCCGGGCTCGCTCCGGGTGTGACCCGTCCCCCTGAGCGGCCCTCACTCCCTGTCCCCTTCTTCGGCCGCCCTCCCTGTCTTCCTCCACTTCCCTGCATTGCGGCACCATTCGCTTCGACGGTATCCCCGTTTTAATTATACTTCCGCCAGCGCAGTTATTCTGCCTAGCCGCCGAAGCAAAAAGCTCCTCCTCCCAGACCCCCGACGTCATGATTTTTGTCATGTCGTCGACCCCCAGAGATCTCGACCTCTTCCCTAGGACCGGTTCTTCATCCCGAATCGTTTTTTGACGGTCCTGAGTCCCGGTAAGGGCTCGCCGGGGCCGAGAATTCTGGAAAAAAAAACCCGTCGTGTTTTTCAGGGCTGTTCATCCCGAGTCGTTTTTTGACGGTCCTGAGGCCTGGTAAGGGCCCCCAGGGGCCGAAAATTATGAAAAACCGCCCGTCGTGATTTTGTTCAGGGTTTTTCACCCCGAGTCGTTTTTTCAAAGTCCTGAGGCCCGGTAGGGGCCCCCAGGGACCGAAAATCGTCAAAAACTGCACGTCGTGATTGTTTTTTAATCAGCGTGGGGGGGCACCCCCCCGACGGGGGTCAACCTCGCCTCGCCGTCGCGTCGCGAAGCGGGTCGGAGCGCCTCCGGCGCTCGGTGGCTGCGCGCGGCGGAGGTCG